CTTCAGTCCTTTTGATGTATAATGCATGCTCAAACTGACATTTCTTGAAGTTCAGAGATTTTAAACGCCTATCCAGTTTCTCATTCCAAGCCCGGGGTGCTTGTTTCAATCCATAAAGGGCCTTGTGAAGCTTGAGGACCTTATTTGGGTTATCTGAGTCTATGAATCCCTCAGGTTTCATAACATATACCTCCTCCTTTAACTCCCCATTCAAGAAAGATGTCTTTACATCCATATGGTGGACCTCCCATCCTTTTTGTGTTGAGTAGGCAAGTAGGGTTCTTACTGTCTCCAGTCTAGTTACTGGTGCAAAAACTTCTTTGTAGTTAACTCCATATGTATGTACATACCCTTTTGCAACTAGCCTGGCCTTGTGTTTTATGATCTTCCCTCTGGATTCTTCTTTAGCTTAAATACCCATTTCAGACCAATGGCTTTCTGATTTATTGGAAGATCTGAGAGTTCCCAAGTGCCATTTTTCTGTATGGAATTGATCTCCATTGCCATAACCTCCCTCCAGCTCTTATTTCCTTTAGCTTATTCATAGTTTGAGGGTTCCTCCAAGGCCAGAAAACATAGGCCAGCTTCTTCATCTACTTCTCTAGTAGCATCATAGATCTCTTGCAGTGATCTGTAGTTCAAGTGTCCCTCATTTGAGCTTGAACTTGTGTATGATCTTGGTGTGCTGAGAGGAGATGTTTGAGGTGTGGTTCCAACTTCATTTTCATCTTCAGCATTTGCAGCATCATTGTTCCCAACCCCAGCTTCACTCATATGAACTGTGAAAGTGTTCTCATTCATATCTCCTCCTTCAAGATTCTTCTGCCAAGGCCATCCCTTTTCTTCTTCAAATATCACATCCCTGCTTATGATGACTCTTTCTTTTTTAGGATCTAACAGTCTGTAAGCCTTAGAGCCCTCTTCATAGCCAAGTAGAATTGTCAAAGCACTTCTATCATCAAGTTTGGCTACATGAGGTGATGCAGTTTTGGTATGAGCAAGGCATCCAAACACACGCATGTATTGTACATTTGGAACCCTTTCATACCAAGCCTGATAAGGTGTCATCTCCTCTACACTCTTGGTTGGGGCTCTGTTCAGGATATAGACTGAGGTTTTCACAGCCTCCCCCCAAAACTTGGCTGGAACTCTTTTACTTTTCATAATGCTTCTAGTCATTTCCAGGACTGTTTGATTTCTTCTCTCAACAACCCCATTTTGTTAGGGTGAATATGGTGATGTAAGGTGTATTTTCACACCCTCATTCTCACATAACTTCTTGAACTCAGAGGATGTAAATTCACCCCGCCTATCAGTCCTAAAACACTTCAGTTTCTTATTCATTTCATTTTCAGCTAGCCTTTTAAATCTCTTGAATACTTCAAATGCTTCATCTTTATATTTCAAGAGATATATCCACATGAAACGTGAATAGTCATCAACAAGCAACATGAAATACCTGTTACCTCCAGATGTAGGTGGTGAAATGGGCCCACACAGATCTCCATGAATAAATTCAAGCTATTGCTTTGCTCTGAACACTGCTTTTGCAGGAAATGGCATCCTGTGTTGTTTGGCCATAGTGCAACCATCACATACCTTATGAATATGGATTATTTTTGGCATTCCATCTACCATTTTCTTGGTGGTTAGCCTTCTCAGAGCCTGGAAGTTCGTATGCCCATTTCTTGCATGCCACCACCATGCTTAACATGAGACAGACTTTTTGTGCTATTTTTAACTTTGCAACAAATAATTTGTTGCTCTGTCTCTTCACCTTGATGATAAGTCTATTGTTACAATCATAGACCCTCAAGTGACCTTCCTCAATGATCACACGATTACCAGCCTCATCAAGCTGCCCCAAACTAATAATATTGCTTTGTAGCTTGGGTATAAAATATACATTGTTTAGAATCAGGTGTTCTCCATTCTTGCATTGAAAGAGCACTGATCCTAAACCCTGTATATCAATGATTGATCCATCTCCAAACCTTACCTTTCCATGAATGGAATGAGTCCTTGTCTCCTGTCATATGATTGCTGGCACCAGTGTCAAGGAACCATCCTGACTCTTTCTTTGTGTTCTCTTGCATTACCCCTTTGTTGGTTGAGATCTGAGAATTAGTCAATTCACATGTTTCTATCATCAACAATGCAGGTTCTTCTGGCTCTTCCTTCTCAGTTAGATTCACCTGATCTCCCTTCTCTTCTTCTGGACACTATGAGGCAAAGTGCCCCGTTTTTTCACAAGCATAACATTTTATTTTTGACTTATCAAACTTCCTTTTCTGTTGTGGTTCTTCCTCTTTACTGAAAGAGCTACTACTTCCTCTACCTCTTCCACGTCCTCTTCCTCTTCCACCCCTAGTGCTTCTTTGATCTCTAGGGCTCTCTTTTGAATGTTTGGACTCTTCTCTTGCCTTCCATTCTGCCTGATTGAGTAAGACAGTTTCATCTTCTCTTGATCCATAGCAGTGAGTCCTTTCTTCAAATGCCTTGAGTGAACCAATAATATCTTCACAAGTATTGTTTTTTAGATCACCAAACTCTTCTATAGTGGTAGCAATCTGCAGGAACTTTGATGAGGTTGACCTTAACAATTTCTTAGCCACAGCTTCTTCCTCCACCTTGTTTCCTAACCCTCTCAGTTTGCTTACAATAATTTGGAGTTTGCTAGAATAGTCATCAATGTTGTCATCACCTGACATCTTTAGAGCCTCAAAATCCCTCCATAATGATTGGGTTCGTACCTCCTTTACCCTCTCAGCCCCTTCATGCATGGTTTTAAGCATGTTCCATGCTCCCTTGACAGTTTTCTTGGGCCATTTTATCTTTGCATGTTTCAACCGTCCCTTCAGTTTCTATAGCATCCCATACCCCTTGGGCCATCATAAACACCTCCATTTTGATGGCCCAAGCAACATAGTTACTCCTCGTAAGCATAGGATATTTGAGAGAGAAGGTGTCAGTTTTGTCTTGTGATGAACTTCCTCCATCTTCCCCAGCCATGATGGATCGTCCTCCTGATTAACTTCCTACTTTGACCTACACACATATTTAGGAAATAAATTTGACTTTACTGTTTAGACACTGTTTGACACTGTTTACGCACTGTTTGACACTGTTTAGACACTGTTTGGCACTGTTTTGCACTGTTTGACACTGTTTTGATGTAGGATAACTTTCTATTTAGGGAAATGAGAAGATGATTTTGGGACGACCCCAAAAAGAAAGCAAGAAGTTAATAGCGGGACGGAGGGAGTATTAAACTGTCTAATTTGGATCATAAGTACAACCTTTTATTTGTAATTGAATTATCAATTAATTACTATTGATTCCAATGAGTGAATAGTCATTAATTGCATCGATATTGAGTCTTGATAAATAAATTGAGTTATTTTTAAATTTGTTCATTCAAAATTTTTTCTAACGAATATGTTTGCATTGTGATATAAATTCTTCATATTATTCTCAATTTTACTTGTCAAACAAAAACGTAGGGGTGGGAAAAACCGAACCGAAACCCGGAAACTGACTCTAGACCGATCCAAATTATGATCTCGGTCCATGTTTTTTCTTTTTAACCGGCCCAAATTAAAAAAAATGGACCGAACCCGAAATTCTGGGTTCATTAACGGGCCTTAAAATCTATAACCTGACCCGGACCGATAAAAACCCGAAACAATTAGCTTTAATATAAAATTAATATAATATATGAATATAACTTTATAAATATTTCCTAATATATGATTATAATCACGATGCATAAAAAATGATTTAGAAACTTTTAGTGACTACAAATATGTTCAATTTGTTTAGCGTAATGACCATGAAAATATATTTATAGCAACTCTAGTCACATTTTATCTATAAATTTTATTTCGTAATATTTTTAAGAAACCTATATTATTTATTTACATGCATCCTAAATAAAATATTAAGATAATTATCTTCTTTGGATTTGAATTGTTGGTGATTTTGGAGACTAATATTTGTGTTATTATTTGCGATTTGTATTTTTGATTAATTTTGTTTGAAAATAGGTGTTAAAATATAAACGAACAATGAGATATTTCACGTTCGAGCTTTAACCGACCCAACCTGAACCCGGGCTACCAAAAACCCGACTCAGACCGAATATAATGGGCTTTATTCCGGTCCCTAATTTTCATAACCCGAGACCTTCCGAGTAATTTCCGGGTTTAGCAAAAACCCAACCCAGACCGGACCGATCACACCCCTACAAAAAGGTTTATATAAGGGGGGCATATATGATATATATGTTCAAAAATTATGGAAGTATAAATGTCCTACCTAATTAAACCCATTAAAATATTTTGAAATATATGTTCTATATAAATAAAATATAGTCAAATCAGAACATGTGATTAGTATAGAAATCAACACGTTGAAATTTTATCAGAACGAGTATGGTATATATATATATATTGTTTTTGTATCGTTATGTTCCAATAAATTGAATGAAATATAAAATATACACAATATTTCAGAACATGCGCATTTTCTTAGAACATGATATATAAAGTATTTCAAAATAGTGAATGGATGTTTTTCAAATTATATGTTATTTTCTAGAACCAGCTCCATAAAGCATTCAAAAATATGGAATTAAATTCAATATTACAAAAAATTCCAAATATACATATCCTATCTAAATGAAATGACTAGTCTTTGTAGTTAATTTGGAAATTGATGATCCATAATATAGGACTTCATTGAAATTAATTTTTATTTATTAATTGGACACAATAGCAATTAATTGATAATTCACTATTCTACCTTACCAAAACAATAAATAAAATCAAGTAATTATAGATACTACCTCATGAACCAACAGAAAAAATAGAAATATAATACTGTTGAGTTTAATCCAACACGATATAATAAATATATGTATGAACACTCAGTTTTTACGTGGAAACCCGAAAGGGAGAAAACCACAGGACTTTTTAGGCTAATGTCCAAGCCCTCTCATTCTCATTAGTCTCTCCTCACCATTACATAGTACAAGTATTGAAGCTCCAATTCATGGAGTATCATCTAATCTAGAGAGCTAGCTAGAGAGAAATAAGGAAGAAGAAGCTAAAAGGGATCCCCAAAACATGAAGGGAAGCCTCATATTTATAGGGAAAAGGGGAAAGGTGCTCTCCACCCTAATGGGCCAAATACGGGCCTACTGGGCCAAGGTGGGCCGGATGGCCAGAATGGGCCGAAACGGGCCTTACCAGACGGACTCCGTACTATATCAAGTCTTGGGCTCCTGAACAGTAACGGACCGGGATAATATATCCCAACACAAGTCCCCCAGTTTCTTGAGTAGTGAGTGCGCGAATCTGCTCGAGAAAGTATATTCTTGCCTGCGCTCTACCTCTGCCTGGCTGGAACCTGTGTCTTCAAGTAATCATAATATATGAGTGGGTGTCTGCACTCCTGAACATAATCTGCCGGTGAGGCACCCCCCCCCTTCTCGACGGGGTCGGGCGAAGGGTGCTCCTCTACGGGCACACTCCCCCTGAATGCATCAGGCGGGAGTAAAGCACTCTGACTCGAGCTTTCCAATCGGAGAAGCTTAGAGGTCCATGCATCTATAAACCGACGTCGCGGTACTGTCAAAACATGATGCACGTGTATATGTATGAATGTATGAGGTATGATGCATGAATGCATGAATGCATGTAATGTATGGGTGCAATGTATGAGAGAAAGAATGTGAGATGTGATAGAAAGCGGTGGCTCTCATCGATAAACCGGGCATGTCAGCACCGGGAGGCAGACGTGCTGCATAAGAGATGTTTGTCGCCATCCTGGAAGGGATGGGCGAGCCGAACATGAGACAGACACGATGGCACAGAGGCGCTGATCGTGCTGCATAAGAGATGTTCGTCGCCATCCTGGAAGGGATGGGCGAGCCGAACATGAGCCAGACACGATGGCACAGAGGCGCTGATCGTGCTGCATAAGACGTTCGTCGCCACCCTGGAAGGAATGGGCGATCCGAACGTGAGCCGGGTACGATGGCGCTGAGGGGCCGATCGTACTGCATAAGACGGTCGTCGCCATCCTGGAGGGAATGGGCGATCCGAACCGTGAATCAGGACACGATGGCGCTGAGGGGCCGATCGTGATGCATAAGACGTTCGTCGCCACCCTGGAAGGGATGGACGAGCTGAACGTGAGCTGGGTATGATGGCGCTGAGGGGCCGATCGTACTGCATAAGACGGTCGTCGCCATCCTGGAGGGAAATGGGCGATCCGAACCGTGAATCAGGACACGATGGCGCTGAGGGGCCGATCGTGATGCATAAGACGTTCGTCGCCACCCTGGAAGGGATGGACGAGCTGAACGTGAGCTGGGTACGATGGCGCTGAGGGGCCGATCGTACTGCATAAGACGGTCGTCGCCATCCTGGAGGGAAATGGGCGATCCGAACCGTGAATCAGGACACGATGGCGCTGAGGGGCCGATCGTGATGCATAAGACGTTCGTCGCCACCCTGGAAGGGATGGACGAGCTGAACGTGAGCTGGGTACGATGGCGCTGAGGGGCCGATCGTACTGCATAAGACGGTCGTCGCCATCCTGGAGGGAATGGGCGATCCGAACCGTGAATCAGGACACGATGGCGCTGAGGGGCCGATCGTGATGCATAAGACGTTCGTCGCCACCCTGGAAGGGATGGACGAGCTGAACGTGAGCTGGGTACGATGGCGCTGAGGGGCCGATCGTACTGCATAAGACGGTCGTCGCCATCCTGGAGGGAAATGAGCGATCCGAACCGTGAATCTGGACACGATGGCGCTGAGGGGCCGATCGTGATGCATAAAAATAGTGATGATCATCTCATGGCCCTCGGCCTCTCGCGGCCCTCGGCCGTGCTGGTGATGTGTCAAGTCTCTCTCCTGATTGGCTGTGAGAAGCCGATCGTCTGCCAGGACTCCATCCGGGAAGGAATGGTGAGCCTGAAATAAATCCGGGCGATGTCCCTCCTACCTGATCTGGGGAGCTAATCGTCGTTCGTCTACCGTATCCGTGGTCCTATGTACGGACCGCTAAGCGGTGTACACTCGGTACGCAACAGACTCCGGTGGAGAACTTGTCCTGCGTGTCTGACCCATGGGGCTGGTCTTCGTTCGTCTACCGTATCCGTGGTCCTATGTACGGACCGCTAAGCGGTGTACACTCGGCACGCAATCAGACTCCGGTAAAGAACTCGATCTTTGTTCTTCCCAAGTCTCGTGAGTACTGGTCCCCTGGTTTCGCAGGAGACGTTCGTCATCCCAACTATGAGAAGAAACAGGTTTATCCACGTCGGGATTCCCAATTCTTCGTTCGTCCCTGTCGTGGTCCTACTAATCTTCTTACTTCGAAGAAGACGTTCGGTCATCCAACGATCGCAAGGAGGAACAGGTTTATCCACGTCGGGATTCCCTATTCTTCGTTCGTCCCTGTCGTGGTCCTACTAATCTTCTTACTTCGAAGAAGACGTTCGGTCATCCAACGATCGCAAGGAGGAACAGGTTTATCCACGTCGGGATTCCCTGCTTCGTCGTCCCATGCTCGTGGCCCTACTAGCCTTCTGCTTTGGCGGAAGGTGTTCATCGAACCACGGGTCATGGGAGGAACTGGTTTATCTTGTCGAGGTTCCCTTTGGTACGTCTAGCCCCCCCCACATTCCTACTAGCCTCCGCGTCGGGAGACGTTCGTCATACGCGGCGAAGGAAGATCAGGCATACCTCGTCAAGACTCCCTCTCTCATAGGATCTCGTCTCCCCTTCTCCCCATCTTTTTTTTTTCTTTTCTTTTTTTTTTTTCCTTTTTTTTGAGGGAGGAAAATACGTTCATCGGTTCTAAGAATGACCACAAGTGATGTCACACATAATGGTGGTGGGATACAAAAACGAATAAAATGACGAGGCGATGGAATAGCTGGTCGTCATGCGAGGCGATGGTCACCCTCCTGGAGGGGAGTCGTGAGCCCGATCGCTAACTCAAGAAAGTCGGCATTGGGAGCCGATAAACAATGATCATAATGCCGCTGAGCAGTCGGTCCTGATAAGGAGATGACAATAGTGTCCGATCAGACCGATATATCCAAGCAACGGCTCTCATCCACGCAGCGCGGGGATGAAACCGGTCTTCAAAAGATAAATATGTCGTGCCGAGAGGCCGAACATAACATGATAGTGTCGGCAGCAAGAGGCCGACCTGAAAGAATCAAGCAATGGTCCTCGTCCGCGAGGGGCGGGGACAAGGCCGGTCTTCAAAAGATAAACACGCCGTGTCGGGAGGCCGGTCGTGATATAATAACATCGACGATGAGAGGCCGATCTGAGAAAACAAGCGACAGCCGTCATCCGCGAGGAGCGGGGATGAAACCGGTTTTCAAATATGGAAAGCACGCCGAGCCGGGAGGCCGGTCGTGATATAATGGTGTCGGCAATGAGAGGCCGACCTGAAATCAAGCAACGGTCCTCATCCACGCAGTGCGGGGACGAGGCCGGTCTTCAAATATGATGATCATGCCGTGCCAAGGGGCCGGTCATGATGTAATGATGGCGTCAGACGGCCCTCGGCCATGACGATCTCTTCTAGGCCCTCGGCCTCTGAATGACGGGTGATCGTCTCACGGTTCTCTGTCATGGCATTCGCCTCTAGACCCTCGGCCTCTAGGTGTTCTTCCTAGGCCATCGGTCTCTGGGGTGGAGATGCTCGTCCCACGGTTCTCAACCGTGGTGGTCTCCTCTAGGCCCTCGACCTCTGGGTGGAGATGCTCGTCCATCGGCTCTCAGCCGTGATGGTCTCCACTTTAGTTGGCCCTAAACGTCTTTTAATCATTTCGCTCGAACGCGTCGAGCGGCTTCAGCTGCGCAATAAGCATGATAACGGGCCGCACGGCCCGACAATAAATATGCACACATAACCATCTGCATGGCCTTCTCTCTAACACCCACGATTACCGGCCTATGGGTCATCGTGACCCTCGGCCCGGCTCATCGTGCGGGTTTAATGGACGTAACAGCTCGCGGCGGGGCCAATTAGCAGCCCGCCGAACGTCACATAGAGATATTCATCGGTCTGTGAGTTTTCAAACTCAGACCCAAGTTGGTCGCACTGCCCTCGGAAAAACGAGGTTGAGTGCTTTGGTGCCCTCGGGCCCCATAGGCCACGTTCGGCAATACGCCTAATGGCGTAGACTACATTGGGGTATGATCGTCGATCGGGCACTTGGTGCCGGGCGGACTAACGCGCAACCCTCAAATTAAAATGCGTCGTCGGGGCATCGCCCTTCTGAAGACGCTCGGATCACTTAATCACGCTGATCGAGAGTGGGCCAACAGGCCCACAAGAAATTAAATATTCAATAAAATGTTGGTTGAACCAACCATCACCAGAGCTTCGCTCCACATTATTTAATTCGGGACATTTTTATCCCTAATAAATAATAATGGTGTAACAGGTAATAGCAATGATGTTATCCTATCAAAGGCCATTCCGGTATGCTCCACCCGCTAATTAAAGCCGATCAGGGGCGGGCCGACGGGCCCACAACAACCAGTCATTAAATTTAAATGACGGTGAAACTAGTTATCACTAGAGCATTACTCGACATTATTTAATTTCGGGAGATTCTATTCCCTAATAAATAATGGTGATAAAAATACTAGCAATACTAATATTTTACACTAATTAATTAGTAAAAGAGAAAGTATGTGTGATACTTAGCTCTCTGTAGCTCGCTTGAAATGTACGAAGTACTCCGTAGCAGTTCCCACAAATCAAGTGAGATGGTTGACTTTTCCCAATAGAACACGGTGCTCCACTCGCCCTTACTGTTAACTCCCAGAGTTTGGCTACGTGGTCAGCCTCCATCCAAGTAAAGAGCATCCTTTGGGGAGGCAGATGAACATCCCACTAAGGCCGGCAGTGCAGGTCGTCCTCTGACTGTCTTTGTCTCCATGGACGTGGACCGCTGGGCACCAAGGGAAGTAGATGCAGAGTACCCTAAGGCAGATGCAATATTCATCCGCCAACGGAAGGTCGACAGTACGTGCCGGACATCTACTGGCGGCGGGGATGGCGGCTATGGCGGAGCAGCGGCGGCGAATTCTCAGCCCGAATCACCCAGACACGGCTCCGGTGCGGCGAGGTCTGGAAACAGGAGGGTGAGTTTCCGCGGAGCACGACGCAGTAGGGGAAAGTGACGGCTTTTCCCGGCGGCTCCGGCAGCCCTGGCGACCCCCTTCCAGATCCGTAAACCTCAATATCCCAAAAATTCCGGATTATTCATCCTCCTCTCAGCCTTGCTACGAAACCCAGATTTTCGAAATTACCTTTTCTTTTTTCCTTGTTTTGCTTCTTACTTTCAGAATCTTTTCCCTCTTTCTTCCCTTGTCGAAAATCAGTCCATTTTCTGTATCTCTTTTGTGGAAAATCAAGCTGAAGTCAGTAGCTTTTCGTATGAATTTTTTTTGTAGAAAACTCAAGAACAGTAGAACACATGAATCTTTTTGGACAGATTCCCACAGACGGCGCCAGTGTTGAGTTTAATCCAACACGATATAATAAATATATGTATGAACACTCAGTTTTTACGTGGAAACCCGAAAGGGAGAAAACCACGGGACTTTTTAGGCTAATGTCCAAGCCCTCTCATTCTCATTAGTCTCTCCTCACCATTACATAGTACAAGTATTGAAGCTCCAATTCATGGAGTATCATCTAATCTAGAGAGCTAGCTAGAGAGAAATAAGGAAGAAGAAGCTAAAAGGGATCCCCAAAACATGAAGGGAAGCCTCATATTTATAGGGAAAAGGGGAAAGGTGCTCTCCACCCTAATGGGCCAAATACGGGCCTACTGGGCCAAGGTGGGCCGGATGGCCAGAATGGGCCGAAACGGGCCTTACCAGACGGACTCCGTACTATATCAAGTCTTGGGCTCCTGAACAGTAACGGACCGGGATAATATATCCCAACAAATACGATAGTAAGTCATTGTTAAACAAATGGTAAAAGAACGCAACAAAATAAGCTACTCCCTCCGTCCCTAAATTAACATCTCACTTTCCTTTTCGGTCCATCCCTAAAAAAGTTACATTTTCTTTTTTTGGTAAATAAAACAGTGCAAAACAGTGTCAAACAGTATCAAAATAGTACAAAACAGTGTCATTTTCTTAAACAGTGTCATTTGCAAAAGTGTGTTTTATTTCCCATCTACTTGCATAACTTATGATTGTACTCTTCAAGTTGAACTGATCGAGATCTTGTTTTCTTGCAAAATTGTTCTCTTAATTTTCCCACACCGGAAACATGTGAGGCCTCCAAATACTTTATAACTTACTTTAAATCACGCATCATTGCAATAAGATGTAGTGGCAAAATGGGTGAAAATAAGAACAAGTTTCTCTACGCGTGTTATATTTGCAAATTAATATTAATGATCAATTTGAAAGATTACCCGTGTAGAGAAACTTGTTGTCAATGTTTATTCACTTTAACTATTATAGTTTTCATGTTAATTCTTTTTTTCCCTTATTTAATCCTTTTTATTCCTTAGGAATTGTCATTGTTCATTCACTTTAACAATTATTTTTTAAATTTAAATGTTGATTCACATTTTCTTAATAATTTTTTTTAATTATAAATTAATCATTGCTCTTTCACTTTGACTATAATTTTTTAAATGTTGGTTCACATTTCCTTATGTTACCTTTTTATGAAAAATAATATTCCACCTGTGCGTTGCACGGGATGCAATTTTCCAATTGCTTTCTTGCATGAGATTATGTTTAAAGACAACCCAGACGGGCTCAATCAACCTAGAAATCGATAACTTAGACCAAAAATTGATTCAATTTGTTTTTTTAAAGGATGGATTCAATTAGTATATAGTTATAAATTCGGAAATGGGCAAAACATATTGGAAAAACAAAGGAAAACTCGATCCAGTTATAGTGGAAAAGTCTGGTTTCAGATGTCATTTCAAAACTTTTGTAACTTCTTAAGTATCTTTAATCGAGTAAAGGGTCAGTTTGGTACTCGAAGTTGCATAAAAAGGTTTAAATAAGTCCTTATATAGGAGGCTCTATCTGACCGTCACTATTTGGGGCGGTTTCCGGTGGATTTTTTTGACGAAATTTTTGAGCATCTTATTCATTAAGTCTAGTTTACTCATACCAAATTTCAGCTAAAACTTCAATCGGGAAGGCATTCAAATGAATTCTTGTAGATAACTGCGCAGTTAAAAGCACAATTATCTTCCAGAATTCATTTGAATGGCTTTCCGGTTGAAGTTTTAGCTGAAATTTAGTATGAGTAAACTATACTTAATGAATAAGACTCTCGAAAAAATTCATCAAAAAATTCCTCCAGGAACCGTGCTAAATGCCGACGGCCGTACAGTAAGGACTTATTTGACACTTTTTATGCAACTTCAAGTACCAAACTGACCCTTTACTCATTTTTAATCGGATAGAATTTCAATTCATCATCATCACCCCAATGACGCGAAGACCCCCACTAACGGAGGGATAAGACAAATCGAATAGAATTTCAATTCCAATACAAAATTATGTGATACATTCGTAAATTTATTGTTGGAAAAATGTGTTAAAATTGCATTAAATGGTAATTTTGGGGCAATTTTTTGAGTGAGGTCCACTTCTGATTTGGATCAGGTCAAAGTGGTTTCGGATTGTCCTTGTTAAGAGCTACAATTCGATATATGGTACGCTCAAAACGGATAACGGGTGAATGAGAAATCGCTTTTCAAAGTTTACCCGTTAGAATGGAAAAACTGGGAAAAAGGATGAGTTTCTAGTGTGTTATTTCCCACACCGGAAAACCCAATGGATTTGCAACCCTTTATAAAGGGACTCCTCCCTTAATGAGTTAAGATTCCTAAGGGTAAAGGCTCTCTCCACGCGCGCAGGGGGGTGCAAATCAAATCCCGAAATCGGAGAAGAAAACTCGCGACTTGCGTGCGCGGGCGACCTGCGGACACAAAAATCTATCTCTTAAGAGATATGATTAATTTTTGTTTTCTTCCCGAAACGTTTAATTTTTTCCCAACGGCAGAAGTGCTCGGACAGAAGCCTGCGGAACGGAACACCTTGTTGGTGTTCTGGTGGCCTCGTGACAGAATTTGTTCGCCTCGTGACAGAACCCCTCTTGGGGTCTTCTGTTGGACTCGGAACAGAACCCCTACCGGGGTGTTCTGGTGGAGGTCTACTGTCGCGCATCTGAACCGTTACAACAATAAATGGCCAACATTCTTGTCTTTTAATGCAGCGTTAAATGGACAGTTCATAGACGATTCAATGCCTAACGGACTGGTCATTGATGTCCAACGTTCAGGTCCATTAATTCACCATTTACACACAACAAATCCTCCTGTATAAAAGCCGGCAGGTGGTTTGCAGCAACACACGTTTTTACACGTTCATATATACGCGAGCTCACGTATTCCTTCAACTAAAAACACCTCCAGTCCTCTAAAAAATTCCTAAGTGTTCAGACTTGTTCTCGTTCGCTGGAACTTTTGTTTGTGTGCTCAAACATTAGTTCGTAGTCATCGTATCCTGGGAAACGATTGTTGCAACGCTCCTAGCACCGTGGGAGGCAACAAATACGTTTTAAGGACATCGTGCATAGCACGAGCTTTGACTAATTCTGCTTCATCTCCTTTCTTGTTTTTCTCTAGTCATTTTGTTTAATTAATTTATTTTAATTAATTTTCTTTATTTTCCAAAACACACCCTACATTTATATTATCAATTATATTGTAAATTTACAAAGCACATAAGATTGTTGGTTTTGTAGCATTAAAGTTATATTTTGGAATATTGTGATGGTTTTTTCAATTCTTATTGAGTATTATCACTTTTTATTACTATGAAGAACAAATATGTTTTTATTTTAAATAAACTCTGTATATAACTTTTTTGTTTATTATTATACTCCCTTCGTCCCATTCATGTCCCATTCATATCAAAGTATATAAATTTAGAACACCGCTTCTAAATTAACAAAACTTTTAAGGATGGAAGTCTTTCCACCAAGGCAGAACGAAATTAACTAAAAAAATTCATCACTATCTTTTAGAATCAACGTTGTCGCATTTGCTTCAAACATCTAAATAAAATCAAGTGAAAAGTATACAATGCCAAAAATTGTGTACAACTCTTCATCTCTACATTAGTCATGTTTTTAGCATTTACAAAAAGGGTTTATTGGAATCAAGCACCAGGGATAGAATTCACCAACGTTAAACACTCCCGCATGCCCCCACTCCCGCCCCCCTTCAAAAACCGTTTTCAATTCCATCCACCCTCCCTATAAATATTGATGATCTTAATTAAGGAGCATCTGATCGAAATTCCACACTCCATGTCCATTCCCAGCCATTCTTAATTGGGTAACATAATTAGAAACTTTCTTGATAGCTTCAATGTAACACCTGTTAATTTTATATATGAATATTTTTAGTTTATACTTCGAGACGAAGTATCCTTTAAGGGGAGTAAAATGTGACACTCCGTTTTTAACCTGCTCCTCCATTAACTCTCTCCACATAATCTTGAGTCTCCACAATATCATTGTTCCTATCAGCCCCACGGCATGGAGCTTCAAGAGTTTCTCATTGACCAGCTTTTCCAGTGACAATGCAAATTCAATTGCATTCAGTGCATCACCCTTCTCTTCGTGATTAAACTCTGAAATTGGCATCAGAATTGAGTGCTGCTTCACCCTTCCTCCCCGGGTATTCTCATATTTCATTAGCTTTTGAGCGTGCCCCCTTTCTTCCTCAATCGATTCTTTAAAAAACTTGGCCTGGCCCTTGAGAGTAATGTTGTCACAGGCAAAGTTTTTTCGGATAACCAACAAGGGAAAATTGGCAAAGTCCAATGATAGAGGGAGTATATAAAAACAATATATTAGAACTTGACAAACCACATCAAGTTAATAAATTGAAAAGTATCTGCTGTCTTGAACACCAAAGTATCTGCTGTCTTGAACACCAAGTATCTGCTGCCCTGCACAACAAATTTGAAGAAGGGAAAGTTAGTTAACACGAAACACCTCTTCTATAGTGAACATATTGAGAAGTCAAGTTCTGCAACTTTGTGTATAAATCGAAGACCTCATTTGTTAATCCAAGTACTCCATAGATGAATATATTGATTAGAAGTATTTCGCAATTATATTAATAGTATGGATGTTAATCCAAGCACCCATCGGCTATGATGCCCTCGGCTATGATGCTCTCGGCACCCCTCGGCCATAAGGCCCTTGGCGCCCCTCGGCTATGATGCCCTCGGCACTTCATAACGCCCCTGCACATATGTGACGGCCCAAGCTCCATGAAGTCCATAATACCTGATGTGTACCTTCGGCACCTTGCCGAAGGCCTGAAACTCACGGGGACAACTGCTCTTGGACCAACATCACTATGGAGAATTCGGGCTCAAATACGTAGCCTTCGGCAGGGAGGCCTTTGGCCATCACACCGAAGGGCCACCCCTCAGCAAAGATTCCCCGCTGGAGACACGCAACCTCCACATTGAATGCGGTGTCACGTCCAACCACCGCATTTAATGCGGTGCCACATGCAATGGCAGCGCCAGCGCGGCTGGAATGACTCCTCACCGTTGATTAGTTGACACATGTACTCGCATTTAATGCGCATAGCGCTTATGGCTGTTATAAATAGCGCCCCCTTTCCCCCTGTAACCGGCATCCCGAGTTCATTTAATATACTAACTCTCTCTCTCTTACTTGTTTGCTCCGACTTCTCTCTAAGTTATTTCTTATAATATCCCTCGCATAAGCTACCCCCGGGTACACTATCCATCATTTGGTGCTCTCATTGAGAGGTCCGAACAATCAAATAAGAAACCCCCCTTTGGAAAACAAAAAAACCTACCAAAATGGGAAGAACTCGAGGTCAATCCAAGACCCTTGAAGAAAATCACTT